AGCAACCTAGTATTTTCTTTCTCTTTCTTTTTTTTTCCAGTTTGGGATATCAGTGTTTGGTTTTGGTGGTAACTCACCTGATATATAAAAGGTTGAGGGTTCCTTTTCTAGGTTGAAGTAAGCATTCCTTATAGAACAGGATACATTCTGGTTTGAATTTTCTGTTATAATGATAGAACTTTTTATTTCAAAGAGCCCACGTCCATCTTTGGATTTTGTTTTAGTAGAGGAAGATAAAAGCTGCCCACTGCGATCTCTCCACAGCACCTCGGGCTCTGGGTACCATCCAGCCAACTGACACACCATTCGGATCCCTCCATCCTGATAACCCTCAACAGAGATTTGAGGTGGAGAGCCTGAAGCTAGAATAAAATGAATCAGTGTTAAATGACTATTCAGGCTATACACACACACACACACACACACACACACACAAATACAAACAGCCTAGGATATAAAAGTTTACATTTTCAGTAAAATGATTGAATACATTTTCTTTATGACGGATATTTGCAGAAACAGGAAACTTGACTTTAATGAGACTTAAGTACTTGTTAAGCATTTTGCAGTGCGGAGGCCTCAGAGATGGAAGTGAAAGTCTTATGTAGCGTGGGAGTGTGTAATCAGCAGCTTAGTAGGTGATGTGAAGTGGGCAAGGAATGCAAAAGAATTTCCCTTGGATTTCTGATTTCAAGGCTTTGAAGGTTTTTTGTTCGCAGATTCAATAGCTTTTTAAGGCCAGAAAGAACCATTGTGATCATCCAGGCTAACCTCCTGGATCACACAGGCCATATGTCTTCCATGAATTAATTCAAGTCCAAAAGCCATGGCTGACTTAGCACATCCCTTTTCACCAGCGGTGTTCGAGTTGGTGCAGTGGGGCCTGATGCAATTGTAACTCTCCCTGAACAAAGTTCTTTCTTTTGATTGTAGTTGAGGTGAGGATCATGTGTTTTTTTTCCACTACTGTCCCACCTGAGATCAACTTATACCTGCAGTGAAGAGTGGCATTGAATATTTAATCTGTAACTTCTTAGCATGAACAGATAAAGTGAAGGGTTATGACACAGAAAAATATTGCCTCGCTCTCTTTCTCTCTGGCCCAATGACTGTTCTATTGTGTAGAAATACTTAAATAGTCATTGGGCCAGAGAGAGGCTCTGTTGCCCAGTGGTTAGCACCCCCCCGGGAGCTGGAAAACCCTGAGTCCAGTCCCCCTGCTCCAATCACTCTTTCATTATTTATCCAACCTGGAACAACTTCAACAGTAGAGACTGAGGGAGCCTCACATTAGAATTTCCCAGAGCTCAGTGTTTAGAGCACTCTCCTTAGAGATGGATGACCCTGTTTGATTCCTTTCTCTACCCTGCAGAAAGAGGGGAACCAGCTGAGAGCTCTAACCATTGGGCTAAAAGTTATAAGGTGGGCACCTCCTCCTCTGGTTATTTCATGTGGAGTGGGACAGGCACCTAATTAATTCCTGCAAGAAATGCAGGGCCGGATTAACTCTTCTGTGGGCCCAGGGCTATCAGATTTCGTGGGGTCCCTCCCTGTATACAAGTCTTCTTTCTAATTTAAAACAAAATGATCACATGGAGGGGGGCAGTGGCTTGGGGCTTCCCCAAGCTCTGGGGTGGGGCCAAAAATGAGGGGTTCAGAGTGCAGAAAGGGGCTCCAGGCTGGGGCAGAGGGTTGGGTTGGGATGTGGGAAGGGGTGCAGGCTCCGACTGGGGGTGTGGGTTCTGGGGTGGAGGAGGGAGCTCCAGGCTGGTCCCAAGGGGTTTGGAGTGCAGGATGGGGGTTCAGGGCAGGAGGTTGGGGTCTGAGTGGGAGTTAGGGTGCGGGAGGCAGCTCAGTGCTGGAGGAGGGCACTTACCTCCGGCAGCTCCCCTTTGGTGGCGCAGAAGGGCTGAGGCAGGTTCCCTGCCTGTCCCTGGTCCAGACCTCTCCCAGAAGCTGCCAACATGTCCCTGGCTACGGCCCCGGAGAGTGGGGCACGTGGGTCTGCATGCTGCTCTTGCCTGAAGACTCCACCCCCGCAGCTCCCATTGGGTGAGGTTCCCGGCCAATGGGAGATGGAGGGGAGGCACCTGCAGGCGAGGGCAGCATGTGGACATAGCTTCCCTCTCTGACTGCTGTGAGCCAGTACTCGCAGCTCCAGCCCAGAAGAGTGTGTGGAGCCTCCTCCATGCCCCGCCAGGCAGGGCTGGATAATGCAGGGGCTTTAGTGGCTGCAGTCTGGAGGCCCTGGGGCTAAGGGGGCCCCTGCAAAATCATCTGGACTTTGGCAGCCCAGAGATCTTTTTGCAGGGCCCCCCTTAGCCTGGGGCCCTGGGCAGCAGCCCCTAAAGCTCCTGAGTTAATCCAACCCTGAGGAAATGACTTAGGTGCCTATGCTGTCTGGCTTCAGGTGTCTGGTTCCCATTCGTGGATCACGAGCAGAAACAGGCACCTCCCTGCAGCCTACACTTAGCTGTCTGTCTGTCAGTGCTGGGCCGGGGCTTAGGACACACCACTGTGGTTGACATGTCCCTTTGGCTGGCTTAGGCACCATCATCTCCTCTTCTGGCTGTTTTGTGCAAAGTGAGTCAGAGACCTAACCCGTTGCCATAGGAAACATGTTGGGCATTTTCCATTTTCTTCCTGAATTCTAAAGAAGGGACAGAATTTGGCTTCTAAAAGAAACTGAGCTTGGGCCAGTAACTAAGAACCAGCTGCTGCTATTGCTAAATATCCAGTGAGGATCTCCCTCTCCCCTGGGATAAAAAGAAACCCCCTATTTGTGGGTGTCTCTGTCTTTTGAGGAGGAGCAACTCCCTAATGTCTAGGGATATTGTCCATTCCCTCATTTGGATAGAAAGCCTGTAGAGAGGCTGAAATGTTCCCAAGGCACAAACACCAGCACTGCTGAGAGGAGAAACATGGAAGTGAAAGGGGATTTAAGGGTAACAATATGCAAAATGATAAACACTAAGGCCCAACTCCACAAAGAGAATTGGTGTTGCAACACTAAGCACCAAATGGCCTAACTTTTAAGATGCTTAGAAAACCACTGGAATCCACAAAGCCTGAGTTAGGGGAGAGATCAGTGCCTGAGAATGGGATCCACAAAATCCAGCATCTAGGGAGGAAGCTGCGTAAAACAGCCCAGAACAGATGTTGATAAGAGTGGTGTATCCTAGCGGTCTGCTGTGCCAGATTTCAGAGCCTGAACCCAGGCTGGATCGAGGCCCCCATCTCTGCTTATGACCCACTGCCTGGCACTCTCTCCTGGAGTCAGTCACCTAAGCCACTTTTTACAATCTGAACTGGTGCTGTTACCTCCCATAGAATTTTCATCACAGTTTTTAGAGCACTTGCTGAAGATGTGGGAGACCCCTGGTTCAACGACCCCCTCTGCTGAATGGGGGGGAAAGGATGTGAACAGGGGTCTCCTACTGCCCATGACATGGGGAGTTAGGTGCCTAAGTACTTTTGTGGACTTTTAGAGACATGTTACTGACCTTCTACCTTCAGTTCCAATAGAGCTTCTTCATGAAAGACACCATCTTGAACAAAACAGCGGTACTGTCCTTCATCAGAGGGTCTGACATTTACAATCCTCAAGGCAACATTCCCATCCATGATGCCGGCTTTCAAAAGCTCTGTCCTTTCATGATATTCTGGCATCTGCTGCTCATACTCATCCTTTCCATGCTGATACAGGTGCACAAACCTAGTGAACTCAGATCGGAACCATCTCACCTCCATGTTCTCAGCGCTCATCCTGGGGGACAGGTGACAGGGTAACACAGTGTCCTCACCCACAATGGCAGTGACAGGGTGATCAGGTCCAATCACTGTGAACTGAGCTACCAAATGCACAAAGAAGATAAAACAAATAAAGTAAATGTACATCATATTCCCTTTTAATCAATGACACTCAAATTAGAATCTCTTTGTGCGTATTTCCTATTCTGTGCTTCGATTGCAGTGCTCTGTCATTGACTAGGACATGTCCTGAATTTATACATGAATTTTACAACAAACAATGCATTTGGATAACCATAATTTATATTAGTTTTAATGGAAGCTGAAATACTTTCTGCCATTATCCTTACAAGCAGCTCCAGACAGAATTAACTTGCATTTGCAAATCTTTCAAATCATTGCTTTCTGTTTGAAACAGTTTTTAAGTTTTTTTAATGTTATAAAACATATAAACTAAGTAAAAAAACATTATTAGGGTACCATTCAGGAAAGAATCTTTCTTCAGGAAGGAAACTTAAGCATGTGTTTAACTTTAAACATAAACTTAAATGCTTTACTCCCATGGTTCTCACTTTTGTACTAGTGACCCATTTCACACAGCAAGCCTCTGAGTGTGACCTCCCTTATAAATTAAAAACAAACACTATTATTTAAACATGATTATAAATGCTGGAGGCAAAGTGGGGCTTGAGGTGGAGACTGACAGCACATGACCCCCCATGTAATACCCTTGCAACGTCTGAGGGGTCATGACCACTAGTTTGAGAATCCCTGCTTTACTCAATCAGGAGCTAAGGTTGCCAAACAAAGCACTTAAATATTTGGAGATGCCAGATGGTGCTACTTCATTTCTGCCTCCTTTTGTGTATGATACAGTCTTCTGTTCTATGACCTCATTACTGGCCTTTCCACAGAACCCCTGCTTCACTCCGAGACTGCTCAACTGGCATCGATAGAGAGAAAGACTTGATGCTCACAGGGAGTACTTTGCTCATGAGCTCTGTGAAGTCAGATGGGATGTTTGAGCTAATACTCCCCCCCCCCCCAAGCTGGTTAGGTTTTTGAAAAGAAAATGGGCATGTTGAGGAGGACACTCAAGGAGGGCCACATTAAGAAACTGGATGGATGAGGTGTAGTTATTAATCCTGAAAGTCTGGGGAGACATTTTACTGTATTGTTACCCCTCAGCAGCTAGTCCAATTTTGGGGCCTGTTGGAAGTAGACATTGATAGAACCTGGTATTCTCTTTGCTGCAATCTTTTTTATTTACAAGGAATGTACCAAACCGAGCCCTGAGTAGGGGGCGGGGCTTGGCTGAGTAGGGGGCCCATAAAAGTGGCCGCCCAGCCAGGTAGCGGCACAGCTGCGAGCAGCGGCACAGGAGGCAGCAAACAGGGGAGTTTGAGTGGGAGTTGGCAGGAGGGCGCGGTGTGTTGTGTGCTCTGTGTCCCCAGGTGCTGTGGGCAGAGACCGCGGCAGCCATGAGCCAAGCAGCAGCAAACGGAATGCAGATGGCTGCATGTGGAAGCTGTGGTATGTATATAGTTCTAGCAGGTGAGCCGGAACAGAGGTATGTTTGCATGAAGTGCCGCCTAATAGCGTTACTGGAAGAAAA